ATGCCAAGTCCTAGATGTTGGCCACACTGAAAACCATCTCTTTTAACCCTGAAGATGTTCTACAAGACAGTTTAGAAAATCAACATCTCACGAGTGTAAGTGATGCCACGAATGCTCAAAGACAGACTTAACATTCATAAAAGGCTTTTTGGTTTTTGGGTTTTTCTGTTGATTGTGAGAAGGGTTTCAAGATACTTGACAAACCATTGACTTTCTGAGAATCACACAGTCAGTTGGGAGTGAAGACCAGGTTTTCCAGCTTCTAGTCCAGGTTATTTGTGCTCAGCTCATTTTTCCAAGAGGAATGAATGTATATGCGATTGCAAGACAACAAGCTGTGAACAGAGCTGACCAACATTCCAGAACTTGGGTAAATAAAGGCTACTGAAGGGCAAGACCCATTTCTCGTGCTAAATGTGAAAACTTATTGTACACAGTCAATGTTGATCAGTTATAGGTATATTTGACAATGACTATGCAGTACAGGCTCAAATGAGAACACTGAGAAGATTACAAAAGGCTGGGGACCATGCATTCTAAATGGTGCATGCCACAGCAGCCTGTGCAGCTCAGAGGGCAAAGTGAAAGAATTGTTTCTCTCCTTCCCCAATGTGGGATCTCAGGCACCAGGGTATGAGACTTGGTAGCAAGTGCCTTTACTGAACATCTCAACAGCACAGATTCTGAGCTTTTCTTCCAGAATTTCTCAGTTCCCTTCAATATTATTTATAGCAAAGCCAGGCCTTTGATCCTTGAGGCAGAGGCAGGCAGATCTCTGTGAGTTAGAGGCCAGCCTGAGCTACAAAGTAAGTCTAGGATAGCAAAGGCTACACAGAGAAACAAAAACAAAACAAAAAACAAACAAATATTAGAATATCCTCTAAGAAAGCCTTTCTGATTACCCCCTTTTCCATTACTTGTTTTGATTTGTACAGTATTATGTTCAGTTTCCTTATCACTAAAAATAATTCATTTTCTGTCTGGTTGTTTCTTATCAATTGTTTCTGCTTGGTTCTTTTTTTTTTTAATGGTATCTAATACAATGTGGTGTTTCCAAAAACTGGAAAGTATTTGTTAAAGAAACTACATTAATTAGTTTGCTTTAAAAGGGTAACTTCATTCTTCATAAAAAAATGAAATAAAAATAGGACATAGTTCACTGAGTAATCTTCTTTAAAAAATATTCATTCACTGGGTTTGTTTGTTTGTTTAATGCTAACCGCTGTTCAAACCAACTGAGAAGCTTTTGAAATGATCAGTATCAGGATAGACTAAACCAGAATCTTCTCAGGTGTCCACACAATAATATGCATAGGACTGACAGGTAATTTCCACACCCCCTCTCATGAATATGCATATGCAAATGTAGTCTCATTGTTTTGGAATCACGGATGCTTTAGAACTAAGATCTAAAACAAAATCTAGGTCAATCCTGTCTTCAGTGCCAAAACTGAAGACACTGGGTGAAGAGAGGCTAGGTGGCCGCCTCTCACAGAGGGATACTGTTTGCCAGGTGACAGGTCCTATCTTGAATGGATGGAATTTTCTGAAGTCCCATTCCAGAACTACAGAACTGTTTGGTTTCTAAATGTCTGCCTCTAAGGAAAATGGACAAAAAGTATGACATGTAGAATGGAAGGGCTGGGTTTTAACAACTGTCAGTGCCAGGAACTCCTTAATTCCAAATACCCCATTGCCATAAGAGGAAATTCTAAAGCAGGTTATATCAAAGTCCAAAAAAAAAAAAAAATACTAGTATCTATTTGTAGACCTTTTCATTGGCCCTAACTCAAAAGGCCATCACATCTTGTTATCAGAACACAGAGCACATTCGCCCCATAGCTATCCCACTTACTAGCAGATTTGTTCACCTCTAAGAAAAATAACCAACACCCCAAACTTCCCTTTTCTTCACAAAAAAAGATAGTGCCTATCCTATTGACCTTACATTTTCCAGTTTTTGTAAATGTTACGTCAATTTATGTGGAAATATTCTGAGGATAGCAAAGCACTATATGTTCATATGCACAGAAGTATTGGTGTGTCTCAAAAGTGATGGCTTTTAAGTACTTGTTGCTTTGATTTCTGAAGTTCTAAACCCTAATTCCTTGGTACCATGCCACCTACACAGTAAGAGAAATAGGATTTAGTGCTAGACAAGAGTTTCCAGTCACTGAAAGTATCACATAACCAATATTTAGAGAGGCAAAGTGATGGAGCAGCTTAGCCTAGGCTTTAGTCCTAGAGTCTACTTTTAACTATTGACTTTGGATAACTCTCTTAATTTTTCTGGGACTGGAATCTCCTCAGTAGTTAAAGAATGACCTTAGTTAGTGTCAAAGATACTTTGATTCATAAAATCAGAATATAAACACATAATTAGAGCCTAGAAATACAGTCTATTTCTGATAAACAGACATTTTAAAGATGTGTAAGAGCTCCCATTTTTTAAAATATTTTTATGTATGACTGATCTGTTTTCACACACCCAGAAGAGGGAATCAGATCTCATTCTAGATGGTCATGAGCCACCATGTGGTTGCTGGGAATTGAACTCAGGACCTCTGGAAGAGTAGACAGATATTCTTAACTGCTGAGCCATCTCTCCAGCCCGAGCTCCCATTTTTTTTTTTTTTAATAATATCTTTACTGGAATACTTTCTACTTATTCTCTTCTGGAGAACGTTGACTACTTTGGCCGGTTTTTGTCAACTTGACACGAGCTAGAGTCATCAGGGAGGAAAGAACCCTAACTGAGAAAAGGCTTCTGTAAAGTCCAGCTGTAAAGCATTTTCTTAATTAAGGATCAGTGGGGGGAGGGCCTAGCCCATTGTGGGTGGTGCCATCCCTGGGCTAGTGGTCCTGGGTTCTATAAGAAAGCAGGCTGAGCAAGTGAGGAAGCAGCACCCTCCATGGCCTCTACATCAGCTCCTGCCTTCACTGCTCTCGTCCTGACCTCCTTTGGTGATGAATAGGAACTTGGAATTGTAAGCTGAATAAAGCTGTTCTTTCCCAACTTGCTTTTTTTGGTTATGGTGTTCTGTTGCAGCAGTAGAAACCCTCAAATAAATAATTACTTAAATAGGACTTCATGAAGTACTAGACAGCTTTCAGTTACCTAATTCACCTGTTCTCTATAAAATGCAAACAGTGCCCTTCACTGATCCATTAGATGTTCTTTCAGTGACCTATTTAAATCATGGGTAGTAAATGTTTTGTAAACTCAAAAGAATTGCTATGTTTTTTTAATCTTAGGATTGTAGTTTACATGACCTTTCTTAGATGTATTCTTTTTTGAGAGTCAAGTTAAAACCTTTCTGACCTAATTTATTACAGATACAGCACCCATGCTTTTACATACTTTGGATCTGAAATGTCTGGGCCCATTTGTTAAAGGCTTGGTCCCCAATCCATGGCACTCTTGGGTGGCGGTGAGCCCTTTAAGACCTAAACAAAAAGAGTTAGGTCCACAGAAACTGGAGGGAATATTGGGTCCTAGCTTCTTCCTGGATCTTTGCTTTCCAGCTGCCATGAGGTGAGTAACTTGTAGCTGTACCTTGCCAGGGAACCATGATGCACCATCTGGCCACAGGCAAGGACACAAAGGAACCATGGACAGAAGCAAAACAAATTTTTTCCTTTGGTGACTGGCTCCAGCATTTGTTTCGATAACAACAATAACAACAATCTCCTGCTCTTCCATGATTGTTCAACCGTATGTTCAATAAAATACTGGCTCCTCAGAAAATCCAAGTTCTATGTTGTTTAACTCTAAATCCTCAAAATCATCTGCAGTGTAATTGAAACCCAAGAAGATGAATAAACATTGCCAGCTCTCCTTCCTCTTCAGCAGTTTACCAGACCAACAGGGAAGACAACAAAGATAACTTCTCGAGGGTAAAGCACTCAGAAAATTCATCTATTCTCTATATGTGTGTGTGTGTGTGGGGGGGGAAGCCTGGGAGCATAGAACAGGATCCAACTCCAAACTTAATTTTAAAACTTTTCATTTTAAGTTTTCAAGACTGATCATTTTAAGACAAGCACAGCAGGGTCGTTCATGGTGCTGTTCACAAGAAAGGACCACCTCGTAAGGCTGAGACTTGCTTTGGGGGACACTCTATCCAAGGCTAATGCCCAGCAACGCACAAGTTCTCATATATATATATATATATATATATATATATATATATATATATATATATATATATATATATATAATTTTTTTTTTGAGAAGTTAAGCGAAAACAGGTGAAGTGTAAATGCCTGGCACAGAACTAACACTTGGCAAATTTGCACCTCCATCACCACTGACTTCATGGCTATTCCAATTGTATGGTATATATGGGTGGTTGGCGGGTGGCCACCTTTGGGAACAACCTGGATTCAAATCTCAACTTATTTACTGACCCCTGGGACTTAGGCTAAATTTGTTAATCTGTTGGGGTTCCTTAAGGTTCCTCAAAGAACTGTGTTCAATTTCCCACCTTGCTGTAGCCTAGTGTATAACACAACTGCAACAGGGCGAGGAGGGTAAGCATTCCAGAGACAGAAACCGCTAACTGAGCATAGAGGGAACTCAAATTGGCGCTTCACAGCCCCCACCAAAGGCCGTCTTGGCAACGGTCAGTAAATTCAACTAGCCAAGTCTGGTGCAGGTCAGCAAAAGGAAAAATAATCCCAGCCAGAATCCAGTTTAGACCCTCCCACTAACGAAAGGTCCCTCCGCCTCTGGCCCCCGGCAGTCGCAGGACTCTGGTTTCCGGCCTTCAGAGAACTACAATTTCCAATATGCCCTTCGTGGGAAGTCTTTCCCACTGGATGACTACCAATTCCGGCATGCTATTCGAGTCACTAGTAACGCAAATGACAGCGTGTGATGAACCCGCTGCACGCCGGGAATTGTAGTTAGTAGCGCTGGGCTCGCAGATGGGCGGTCTCGTCCGCAAAGAGGGAGTGATTCATAGAGTGTTAGGGGAGACAGTTTTCCTTTTGAAAGCCATTGAGAAGCCGAACTCTTCTCCCAGGCTGGCAGACCGAGGAAAGTAGGCAGGGCCCGGGCCTGACCCAGTCTCTGGAGGTTCATTAGGCCTCCTCCGAGCCCTGGGCCTGGTCGGGTAAGGCCTCCAGGCGCCGGTTGCTGGGGGAGCGGTGACGTCACGGGGTGAAAGTTGAGGGGCGGTGACGTAAGGCCTGACCGGGCGGAGGCTGGCGGGTTGGAGACTGGAGGGAGGGAGGGAAGGAGGGAAGGAAGGAAGCTGGGAAGGAGCGAGGTAGCGGGGGCGCGAGGCGTTTACCTGGGAGGCAGCGGCTGGGGCGCGCGCAGCGGCCGCGGCTCCCCCGCACCTGCGGCCATGGATGAAGAGCGCGCCCTATACATCGTCCGGGCCGGCGAGGCGGGGGCTATCGAGCGGGTCCTGCGGGATTACAGCGACAAGGTAAAGAGCCCTGGTCCCGGGCGTTCGCTGTCTCGCCCCCGGGCCGCCCTCGGGGCTTGCACTTCGCATCCTCCCCACCCCCTCCTCATTCCGGGGATGCGCATTGCCCTCCCCCGAAAACGTTTCCGGCTTGGGCATGCGTGTTTGTGCCCCCAGCCTTTCCCACCCGTGCATCCTGCATCGACCCCCTGCCTCCACTGTAGAGCCCACTCCTCCGAATCCTGGCTCAGCAGCCTGTCCTGTGGTCTTCTTCGTAAGCATGCAAGTCACACCCCCAGAATCCGTAGGTGTGTGTCTGCCCAGTGCCCCACTCCTGGATGCATAAAATGCATTCGAGGCTTCCTCACCTGTATAGTGTAAAAATACATGCTTCTCTTCATAAACACGACCCTTGACATGCATAAAATATAACAACAACGATGGCAGTTCTTTTTGTACCTGTACCACTGTATGGTTTTCCGGGCATTGATGTCTTATTGATCTCCTTTGATCCTCAGAGTGCTTAGAGGGTAGATGGTATCCTTTCCATTTTATAGATGAGGAAACCGAGGTGCAAAGAACTGAAATCACACCCCAAGGTCATGGACATATGTTGTAAGTGGGTGGAAAATCCAACTCCTAGTAATACCTGTTATTTGTATCGCATTAACAGCTTTCCTATTCATTATCTCATTTAATCTTGAGGTATTATTATCTATGTTTTGCAGTGGAGACTCTAGATGGGCTAAATAACTAGCCCAAGGTCATTCTTGGGAGCCATCGCTGTCCTATTTAGGTATTCAAACTATCCATTCATTGTTCTTTCACTTTACAGTGAAGTGGTATCTTGTTATTAATACCGTTTCCTTCTCTGGAGACTCTCTCCAAGAACCGTTAGCTCTCCCTTTCTTTTCCGTGCAGCAATTTCACATGTTCACTTTAATAATACCGTTAGTCTGGAAGAAGAGACTTCTGTGAGAATAATTGATGACTGTTTGGGGAACACACCCAAGTTATATACCCTCTATGTAACTGATACCTTATTCTTCATATTTTCTCTTCCTATTTATCAGCCCTCTCTGAAAGCAACATGGCTTCCTGTCTCTGTTTGTGATCTCACCTTCCCTTCTGTGTCCACTACTCCACTCTCATAGAGTTTGCATCAGTGAGCTACCAATTGCCATATCTGCCTTTGTTAGAAAATATAGCCCCCTCCCAAAGAGACATACTTCTTCTTTAAATGAACCTTCATTCCCATTTAATCTTTCCAACAATCTAGTGCGTAAAGGGAGGATGATATTCCTCATATTACAAATAGTAAAATTTAGGATGATAATGTGGTCCCAGATTCACAAAGCCAATGAAAAATGGTGCTGGGGTTTGGGGTTTGAGTCCAACTGTCCAACTGCAAGTCTAGTGCCTTTTTTGATGATCTGCTTTCTTAGGATACATGAACTATATTCTAGTTGCTTCTTAGCCTCTTTACCTTCTGCTATGCTTCAGTGTTGAGCATATCTGCCTAATTTAGGAGAAACTCATTTAATGCGTAGGTGTACATACTGTGTAGATTGTGTTATTTTAACTTGATTTATTATTGCTTTCCAGAGAAGATATGAGGGAGCTACAAGCTGATTTTCAAAAAGAAGTATAATAATTTGGCTATTGTGTTGAATTAAACATTTATTAATTGTTAGTTTATTTAGCACTTACCAGGTGCCAGCTAACCAGCAAAATAGGAACTTTTTCTACAGGGAAGGGAGGAGGAAAAACCTACACTGGGATCTGAGTCCAGTGTTCACTATTTTGTGGCTAAACTAACTGGTCCCATATTTATTTGCTTCCTCCAATTCATCCCTTTTCCTTGATCTCCTTTCAGGTTGGTTTCTTGTCACTCAAGGCCATGTCTTGTCAGAGTTTAGTTTCCCATTTTCATATTGGAAATGTTTTCAAAATTGTTAGGATCATTATCTATTGTTTAAGGTGACGTTCTGAAATACTTCAGAAGATTCCTAGGTACCCTTTTTGGCCAAGTCAATCTTGAGAATGTTCTGACTTGGTTTGACTGAGACCAGTTAGCTCTCTGGTTATAGTAGGAACAGTAGAGTGGAGCTAATTGGAGCACAAAAAATTGTGAGCTTCATGTTGCACTGCAGCCCCTCAAAGGGAGAAAGTGGTGACACGAATAGGAAGGGAATCTCTGTATTAGTGGTCAGGCAAGAAGAATAGAGATAAACTGTCCAGATTTATGGTATATGGGGTCTGACACCCCCCAACCCACCCAAAAAGTATATGGGTCGCATGCTCTTCAGTTTTATTTGGAAAAATGGATTAGAAAAATGTTTAGAGTAAGAAGTGATTATGGGTATTAAGGAGTCAAGCTGAAAAGGAATGCATGATGTAGGAAGTAATCAGTTCATTGTTTGGCAGAAGAGTTTGTTCATGTTACCTTCTTTCTTTTGCTTTATTTATTTATTTATTTATTTATTTATTTATTTATTTATTTATTTATT